GGGTCATTTGCAATAATAACTAAAAAAAACTATAATTAAAAATTTTTAAAAATCTTAGAGAAAGATAGTGAGAAAAAAAAGAAAGATTTTAGTTAATTTGTATATTATAATTTTTTTTGTTGTATTTCTAACAAATAATCCCTTGAAAGTTTGAGTTTTTTTTTTGCCATAATTTGAGTTTTTTTCGATATTTTTCCCAAATAGTTTTATAAGTCTATGAAGCAAAGAGTAAACAAAGAGAATCGATAAAACCAATTATCATTATGTCTTAATTCTTAAAATAAACTTGGCTCCGGAACAGAAGCGAACACAAAACGACTGGCCAATAATATGCTCAAGACGAGGTTCCTTTCTTTAACTTGGCTGCCAACTGCGTCTCAGGCTGCAATTTATTGTACAAAAAATGATATGAGCACATACAGATCAATGATCATTGAGATTCAAATGCTACGCATTGAGATCAATCAATTACCTCTTTTTTCACAGGCTCTTCTTTCTCTGACAAAATCAACTCAATGTGGCATGGGTTTGACATGTAAGCTGCAAAATAGGGATCAAGAGTCAGCTCAATGTGACCAAGTAGAAGGAAAAAGGATGGTTGACAAAAATATAAGAAAAAAACATACGATTGATTCTTCCATGAGCCCGATATGTTCTCCGCCTCTGTTTCGCTGCTTGGTTCACTTGGATGTGAGATATGAAAAGGGCATCAACATCCAGACCTTTGACCTGATAATCAATATTACAGCAGTTTTTAGCAACTAAGCAGAAGCACCAAATTCATAAAAGCAATAGAGTCTGAAAATCACCTCAGCATTGCTTTCAGCATTCTTGAGCAGATCAAGAACAAATTGAGCGGATTTTGCAGGCCAGCGACCTTGACCATTTGAGTGCCTGTTCTTTGCCTGAGCGGTACGACCAACACCACGACAGAAACGTGTGAAGGGGATAGCTTGCTTGTGAGCTATGACATCTTCCAAGTACCTTTTGGCCTTGTTCAATGGTAGCTTCCTTATGGCATGCGCTGTCTCCCTTGTGTTCTGTTCACACAAACCGTAAACTATTATTCAATGAGTTTTCCTTTGCATTTTTATAGTTAAATGTAAAAGATTACCACACCAACTTTAGCATCTTAAGCAAATTCGTCAAGGTCGAAATTGTTTTCCATGGCAAAATATGTCATATGCCTCAAATACTTTAGTTTTGATTCAACTAATGAAAATGGCCAGAGGAGATAAAACCCTAGTTAATGAGCAAATCAACAATTAGTGGAGGATAAAATGTACCATCATGTACTGAACCATTAGCTATAAGAAGAAACATAGGTTCACCCAATCACGATGACCAATTAGATATTCCTGACATTTACGTGAGTGCCTGTTATTGTGCAAACAGAACCCTGCTTTTTGCTAATCAGGTTTGTTCTAGCTACGACCTAATCCCCAGACAAACCCTAATCTGATTCATTTTCGAGATCCGAAACATTTTATTTACCTTGAAGTGCACCCTGAGATCGGCTCCCCTCGCCTTGCAAGCTGCAAAAACATGCCAATCGAATCCATTCAGATCGATAATCATGCATCACTCCACAAGCCCAAAAGAACAGTGAAGCTAAGAAACGCTTATGTTACATTACATTTGGTGGAATTGTCGGGTTCTTGGGAATACTTCACCT